ATTTATTAAGAACATACTATATTCTAGTCACTGTGCAAAAACACATTACATGCCTTATGTTGCATAATAAAGTATAGCAATGTGGTAGGTATCACTGTATTTCTACATGAGGGTAAAGCTGAGAGAAATAATTCATGGGAGGTCATCTACAGATAGTAAACAAGAGAAATGTGATTTAAATACAGGTCTTCCCCACTCTGCACTTCTTACTCTTAGCCACTCCACTCTACGACAGCTCCCCTGGCTCCCACCAATCCCATAACCTCCTTAGTTAGGGGTCCCACCTCCAGCTGCCATAAAGGGGCGCCTGTGCAGAACACTACATCTTATTGTTTGGTTTTCACCTCAAGTGAGTCTGTGACATAACTTGAAAACAAGGTCTATTTAATTTATCTGTTACCAGAGGGCCTGACACATAGCAGACCTTCAAAACATATTTGGTTCTTTCTCCCTTCCGTTTTTCTCTCTAAATAATAAAGTATTTGGTTCTGCCTCTCTAAAATCCTGTAAAACTTTATACCACAGTTAGGACACTACCTTCTGCCTCATGGTAGCATTTTGTATGTCTTATTTTCCCCATCAGACTAAGAGCTCTTTCATTGCATGAGTCAATTTAAAAATTCCTTATGCAGACACCCCTGCCTGTAGTAACTGTTCAAAAAATAACTGAAAAATGAACTAATTCAAAGAGCTGTCGTTTAAGTAGGTTTTTCTTTCCATCATGTAGATTTCTTCCCACTCCTATTAAACACAAGCCCCACTATTAGCAAACCGTGGTTCCCAAGCCACTAAGAGCTTTCTGATTAACTTGTCAACCCGTTCCGCGAAGCTAAGCACTGGAGGAAATGCGAACGCGGATTAGAAAAGGGTTTCTGGTCTCTCAAGAAATTCAGTCCAATAATGACTCCGGAATCAAGACAGTACGACACACGAGACTGTTCGAGTATGTGAGTCACGTGGCTTTGCAGAGAGACGGCAACTGTCAACGAGGTTTCAGGGTCACTTAACAGTCTACACAACAGCCCGCTGACTCATCTGGGATTCGTTACCTGCTGCCTAGCCCAGACGGATCCTGTTCGCGGGTACGATGAAGTGAGGAAAGTGACGATCCCATCTCCCCTTAGGCCTGTGCATCTCGGGGTTTTCCCTTCCCCAAGGCTCACCCAACACGCGGAGCGGGGCGTGGCCTTCACCTACCAGCCCGCCTACTCTCTCCCCAGGGGCCCGGCTAGCGTCCCCAAAGACCCTCCCCTCTGGGTGGCCACGCAAATTTGGGGCCGGAGTGAAGGCCTGCACCAGCCACCCGCTCCCCCCTCTTCTCGCATCGACTCCGCACCCAGCCGGGCTGCTCTCCCTCGTCCGCGCTCCTCACCTGCTCTGCCGACACCGCCCCCTTCCCCGCCGCGCTCCCGCTGCTCTTGCCGGCGCGACCGCTAAGCTCCGCCATCTTCGCCGTCTGCTGGGTTTCCGGCCCGCGCAGCCCCGCCCCCGCTGCGTCACGTCCGGTCTAGGAGTTTCCGCCCACTCGCCCCCGGCTGCCCTGCCTCCCGGCGGCTCCTCTGTGTGGATCCTGCGCTCGGTTTTGGCCGTATCTTCATGTAGGACCTACTCCCTACCCGCCAGCCGCGGTGAATTCCATCTGCGGCGCTCTAACTTGTGCAACAGAGAGGCTGCCCCTGGGAGAGGCGGGGAACGACGGGTTAACTGGAAAGTGGGGCACGGGTTGGGCTCTGGGTGCCAGTGTCCTCTGCACACCACCAGGTGGTGGGAACGAGAGGTAACTTCCCTTCAGAGATTCTGCTAAGGGGAGAAATATGCTTTGAGTCAATAAAGCTGTGCAGGTGCTCAGTCAAGAGGGGCTGGGAAAACCAGGGAAGTTTCTCGGAGATGGCTTGTGAACTGAGGAAACGTTTGACTGTGGAAAAGGGCTTCAGTTTAATGTGAGATCACTGGAGGTCGAGGTATTCAGGTGCTGTGCAGAGTCCTTTTCCTCCATCTTCCCACTTTATGATCTTTTCCTGTAGCCCATAATTACTTAAGAGAGTGTTTTGAAGACTTGGGAGTTTTTACTGGCAGGGCCCGATAGTCTCACAGTGTGAGAGAGAGGTCAGAGATTCCTAGAAATGGATTGCTTGAGGGAGGGGGGGTTGGTGTCCTGATTTCTCACCTTCCTCAGGTTCGGCTTCATCAAGTCTCACCAGCTCCTGTCCCTTCTCTTGTGTCCTGGACTCCAAATACCTCGACTCTCAGTACTTTGTGCACAGCCCAGGTAACTTGTTTTGTTGTGTCCTCAGTGCCTAGCACATACTAGATGCTTTTTGTTAAATGAATGGAGGGTGGGAAATACAAGGATGCCAACCATTCACAGAACATTTGATCAGTGGGTTCATTGTGCCCTGTAAGATCAGAATCAAAGGGAAATCCAGTCTTCCTCAGCCCCTTATCATTAAACTTGGGTTTCCCCATGCTAGGGAATCTTGAGTCCTGCCTGTGCCATTCACAGGCCCAGAGCCATGGCTATCTCCTCTTCCTCCTGGGAACTGCCCCTGGTGGCTGTGTGCCAGGTAACATCAACACCAGACAAGCAGAAGAACTTTAACATGTGTGCTGAGCTGGTTCGAGAGGCTGCCAGACGGGGTGCTTGCCTAGCTTTCCTGCCTGAGGCATTTGACTTCATTGCACGGGACCCTGCAGAGACACTACGCCTGTCTGAGCCACTGGGTGGGAACCTTTTGGGAGAATATACCCAGCTTGCCAGGTATCAGGGCAAGAGGGGGGGAGAGGTAGGTCCTTTGTTGGGCAGTGTCCCTGGGTTGCCAGATACAAGGGAAGAGCCTTGAGAAGTTCTCAGTGTCCCCTCCCCCCCAGGGAATGTGGACTCTGGCTGTCCTTGGGTGGCTTCCATGAGCGTGGCCAAGACTGGGAGCAGACTCAGAAAATCTACAATTGTCATGTGCTTCTGAACAGCAAGGGTGAGACTTCACAACTCTTTTGCTTGCCTCTTTCCAGGTTCTTCGACCTAAGTTAAGATTCTCTAGGAAATTGTTTTATTTCCTTGGCCAAAGGTTTTAGGGGTGTTTGTACTTCTCTTTCTAGCTTATAAGCTGTCTTCTTGGGAGGACAGGAACCAAGCCAGGCTTCTAGGGCACCAGCACTAAGTATTCCTTCTCCATGTTACTCTAGGGTCAGTAATGGCCACTTACAGGAAGACTCACCTGTGTGACGTGGAGATTCCAGGACAGGGACCTATGCATGAAAGCAACTCTACCATGCCTGGGCCCAGTCTGGAGTCCCCTGTCAGCACCCCAGCAGGCAAGGTGGGAGTTCTGCAAGGATGAGGGTGGGAGATATACAAGAGGGAGGGGAACAGTATTACTTTAAAGTGGCAGCAGAGGACAAAAAATCCTGAGGGAGTGGGAGTATGACTAGATGCTGTGACAAACAGAACAGGGGGGCTAAGTAGGTTGTTTTTCATTCCAGATTGGTCTAGCTATCTGCTATGATATGCGGTTCCCTGAACTCTCTCTGGCATTGGCTCAGGCTGGAGCAGAAATACTTACCTACCCTTCGGCCTTTGGGTCTGTTACAGGCCCAGCCCACTGGGAGGTAAGAGGACCTTTCTTCAGAATGGAAAAGCCTTCTCTTAACCTTATTCTCCTCCCTTGGCCCTTCCAGTTGGAAGATCTTTCTTCACCCTCCCATCTAGTGGGAAAATTCATTCCCGATTGTTGTCTCGTGTCAAAGAATAGCTAACATAGTAAATCATTCCTAGGCAATTATCAGAATGGTCACATTGGCCTGTAATGTCCAATGTCCACTGCCCATCACTTCCCCAGTAGTTGCTGCATGTACTTAAGTGAACACACATCTCATCCCCAGGTGTTGCTGCGGGCCCGTGCAATTGAAACCCAGTGCTACGTAGTGGCAGCCGCACAGTGTGGACGCCACCATGAGGCTAGAGCAAGTTATGGCCACAGTATGGTGGTGGATCCCTGGGGAACAGTGGTGGCCCGCTGCTCTGAAGGACCAGGCCTCTGCCTCGCCCAGGTCAACCTCAGTTACCTTCGACAGTTGCGCCAACACCTGCCTGTGTTCCAGCACCGCAGGCCTGACCTCTACGGCAATCTAGGTCACCCACTGCCTTAAGACCTCTGGCTTCTGTTGAGTTGAGACCCCCACTGTGAGCTGGTGTTGCTGTGACTTGTAGGCAGGACCCAGGCACAGCTCCCCTCACTTGGAGAACGTTGACTCTCTTGATGGAACACAGGCTCAGCTTCTTGGGAAAACAGAAACTTCCACCTGAGCTCAGATTTCAGTTTCAGAAAGGTGGATTTTTATATAGTCATTGTTTATTCATGAAAACTGAAGTTATGCTGAGGGCTGAGCAGCACTGGCATTGAAAAAATATAATGGTAAAGTCTCTGTCTGGGCATCTCCTTTGGGAGCTGAAAGGGGAGGTGGTATTTACCAGGTGGCCTCGGCTCCAGTTCTAGGCCTCCAGGCTCCTTCAGCATGCCTCCCCACCTAAATAAAAGTGCAGCACTCAGTGCATGTCCCCACCCCATGCTCCCAAGCCTGGGAACGGGAGTGGGGCTAGAGGTGGGGAAGGAGGAGGGAGGTGATGCCGAATTGCTTCGCTTTCACCTGTGATGCCCTTTGCCCAAGCCAGAAGAAAGCAGAGGGGAAAGGGGCTGCAGGGTACATTATTTATTCTCACTTGGACATGGAAGGAAAGTGTCACACTCCCCCTTCCCCTTTGCAGGGAGTGTATTTTAATCAGCAACCTCTTCTCCACCCATCCTGTGCATGTGTATATATACACACACCACAGTCGGGAGGGGTGACTAGGCCAACCTAGTTCTCTTACCTATCACTCCCTTGAAGAGGGTTTGAAAAGGGGAAAAAAGCCACACCAGAGATTTCGAGCCATGGGATGGAGGAAACAAGGCAGAGAGGAGCAGCACCAGAGGCCAGGAGAGAGCGGGAAGGGCCACAGCTTCTTTGTTTTTTAAAAATTCTATAATTTGGGAGAGGGTGGTGATTCATTTCCAAAATACACTTCAGGTCCCACCTTCCACATAGCTTACTCACAGCCCTTTGGTTTTTCAGACAAAATTTAAGAGCCCTCATAAAGCCAGAAGTACTCATAACCCCTCAATGCACCCAAAAGCAGTGTTCACTTCAGTCCCTTACAAAGACTATGTTCCATAGACTTTGCTTCTCCCTATACATTGTCTTACGGCTCAGTGGCAAGGTGGCTACAGAGACATACGTCAGGGGGTAAGTGGAAAAGGGAAACAAAGGGGAAGCCCAGGCACGTGGGTGCAGGGAGGGGTGGGGAACGCCACTTCCATTTTCGTCTTTTCCTTTAAAAAAAAAAAAAAGGCAGGGGTGTGATTGGTTGGAAGGGTAGAGAACAAACCCTAGAACAGTATGTAAGCTCCAGAGGTGGGTGGTAGGAACAGTCCCCAGAGAAGTGGAAAGGGGAAAAGGTCAGGGCAATGCTTGCAGCATCAAGTTCCTCAGGAGTTTCTGTCGGCCCAACTCATAGTCCTCCTCGTCCACATTCACCAGCAGCTTGATGGCTTCATGGCCCACAGCCTGCTTGAGGGAGTCTGTGATAAAGACACCTTTAAGGGCCTCTAATAATGAGCCATTGATGTAGTCGCGCCAGAATGCGTCGAGGTAGGTGAGCTCAGAGAACTTGATGTCACAGATGATGGACCCCAGGTCCCGGGACTTGAGGATGGTGTTGGCTTGGTTAAAGCGCTCAAACTGGCGCTCAAGTGGGTCCTGCTTGTTAGAGAAGACGTTGCCCTGCAGAGCAGTCTCGTGCTGGCAGTATTCAGCCCGAACTCGCAGTCTGATGTCTGTGGGGAAGAGAAGATACACAGATGAGCTGGTAGTGAGGGGTGGGTTTACCACCCAAGTTTGAAAGGTTGCAAAGAACAGCAGAGTAGCAAATTTGGGAGCTGTACCTAATAGCTTCTCCACCTCTCACCCAGGAGGAGTTCTCTTCTATGTACCTCTAAACTCCCTGCCTGCCTGCTAGAGGCCTTAAATGGGCCAAGCCCAGGTCAGATGATTCCCGTCACTGGCAAGCAGCACCTTGCTTCTAGGAGATACATTCTGATTAACAGGCACAGAAGTTCTTTTTAATCCTTTATCGTGAGGTAGTTCATCCTACAATAAGGATGTCATAACCACATCCCTTTGCTCAAGTATTAGAGAAGAGCTGAATGTACTCTGCCGCAAAAAGAGGGCTTCTCCCCCTCAACAGAGACCCTTCAGACTCTGCAACCACAATCAAAGTGAGCCTTGCCCTGTACAGCATAAGCTGCCCAGGATCCCAGCAGTTTTTATATTTCCCCTCAAGTCTACCCAACCTCTGGAACCCTTTAAGTTCCTCACCACATGTCTGCTTTTCCTTGGGGTCGGGTGTTACTGACTTCCGGCGTTTTCGCTGGCTCCCAAGTGTGGCTCTCCCTCGAACTGGCCGCTTGTTGCACATCTGAGGGCCCGAAGTGGGGCAGCACACCACAGGATAGTGGGGAGGCACTGACGAGAGGGCAAAAAGAAGTCAGAGTGGGGTAAAGGCAGGAATTCAAACACTTCTCTTAGAATGAGGAAGGAAATCATTCAGACTCAGCACTAAAAGCAGTACTGATGATGGGACCTGGGAACAGAGGACACAACCTGGGAACAATGACAGGACCTGGCTTGCCTGATTTTTATGGGGCTAGATATGGGGGGAACAGTGTCCTTTCATTTAGGCTGGCAAAGCTGGGAGAATGATGGGCTCGGTGTCTTCTCCCTTGATTATGGAAATCAGGAGGGGTTAGTATCTTCTCACCTGTTTTAGGGGGTTGGGGAGGCCTCGGTTCTGGATCACTGAGGGCTCTGGGAGTCACATAGCGAATTGATGTCTCCTCCAGATACTTGTCTACGAGATCGGGGCACACTGTAGGAGGAGAGGGCATCATTCAAGAAGAGATGCCAGCTTCCTTCTAGGCCAACCCACAACCGGTCTCGTAGCGCACTCTCCTAGTCCTCCCCAGGGTCGACACCTCCTCCCGCCTGGACTCCTGTTACTACCTCCCACACCCTTCCCAGATTCCAGCATCCCAGCCCCCCGTGCGCCCTCACCAGCCCGTCTCCTCTTGAGGGTGACGTAGGGCAGCAGGTCATGGCGAGTGATGATGCGCAGCAGCTGCAGCACCTGGCGAAAGTTACTCTCGTCACAGCGGCCCTGGCGCTCCAGCGCCAACAAGAAGTCACGTCCGTTCCGGATGAGGCCACGCTCGTGGTCATCAATGACATCAACAAAGAGGAAGGAGAGAACGCGCACATCTCTGTGTGTCAGGTGGGTGCCCACAATGTCGAACATACGGTGCAGGCTGTACAGCCCGTGCTCCTGCTCACCATGCTCTTCAGGCCACACCTGGCTCGCCCGCCGCTTGGGGCCCGCCATACTGGGGGGCTCAGGTGTGCAATGCTTTCCAGGATCCCTGCTCAGCAGCCGCAATCCCCACTATACTGTAAGGATAAAGAAAGAACCTCTGAGCCACTCAATGGCAAGAACTGGTCTCGCTTGTTTTCTGTATATCCACACTGCCTAACACGATGTCTGGCACAGTGTAGTGCTTAATGTTTATTAGGGCTTTCCATAACCAACAGATATTGCCTTAAACCCCAACCCTACTGAAGGAATACAGTCACTTTTAAGTGGGAGACTTATATGCAATTTTCATGCTACATACCACCAGAAGTTGCTACTAGACATTACCCCCATCATTCCTCCTGCCTCCAAAATACTGCTTTTGGTCCCATGTGCTCTCCCTACCCACCCACTAACTAGTTCACCTCTTAAATGTAGGCAACATTGAGAGGAAGTAGAGAATTTATTAATATGGAAGCTGTAGCAGATGAACTTATGCACTGACAGTCAAGAAGCTGAAAACCATTAGGGTCAGAAGTACTTTCAAATCTGCCTATATTATTAACAATCTGTGTAGCTGTGTGACCTCAAACAAGTCACGTAACTTCAAAATCTCACCATCCCATCTACACAACAGGGATGAAAGAAACTATTTCTCAGACCTGCTAAGAATCCAATGAGAAAATACATGTGAAATCGTTTTGTAAACCTTACATAAATGGTCATGAAAGAGATTTCAAAGAGATAAAGGTTCTTTGACCTCTGCAGCCCAGACTCATCCCTCAAACTATCTTAATTTCACCTACAATCCAACCAAGTCTGGAAGCCTAACTACTTGGAAGGTGAATCAATAATATTCACCAAAATACATGAATTTAAATCAGCAAACATCATTAAGCTCCTGTGCTGAGCATTCTCGTAATCCTCCTATGCCACTTGTCTCCTTTGATGTTCACACACTACTTGAATCTACCACATTCTAACCAATCCCCTGGCAATGACCAGTCACAGCCCTACCTTCATTATATAATTTGGCATTTGACCCTGGGTACCGTCTGTGGCCAACCAATATGTAATGCTCAAGTCTAACAACTGCCACCTCTACTACAGTCAGGCACACTCACTGTCCCACCATACAGTGCCACCCAGAACTGCCTACCCTCTGATCACGCCTCCAGTCACCCAATCAAGTATAAATTTCTACTGATGCTTGATTGCAATAGATACATATAAATATGTACGTTTATAATAGTGAAATGTATAACAGTGAAAAATTGAAAATATTCTAAATGTCCATTACTTGTTGAATGGTTAAAAAACATATGATGCTAATGCATCCATATTAAAGAACATATCTAACATTTATTAAGTATTACATATATTGAATATACTGAAATAGACTGCTTCCATTTTTATTAATAATTACCTATATCACAACAGTTGCATTCAGTTAACAATTACAAGTAAGCAGTGGCTAAATGAGGGTTTTGTTTTTGTTCTAATTTTACTGAGGCATGACTAACAAAGAAACATTGTATATATATATTTTTTAAATTTCTATCGATGCTACTTCTAAGTGTTTTTTAAATCTGCCTCACCTTTCTACCTCCACTGGTACTGCCTGGCTCAGGTCCCAACCGTCTCTCACCTGGACTACTGCAACAGCCCAAGGGCACTTCTGACCACCGACCTAACCCGCCTAAATTCTAACTCTGAACTAGCTACTGAAATGCACAACTGACCACATTACTTTTCTGCTAAGACCTATCTCCAGCCCCCTCCTTACCCATAAGAACACAAACTCCTTACGTACCACACACTAGAACTTCCAAGTTCAGGCCCTGCCTACCTCTTCAACCTCATAACCCACTTTTTATTCTCTAATATTATCAGTTTGTTTATAGCTCACATTCATCCTGCAATTCACTTCTCGGGCCCTCTCTCCAGGCTATTCCCTCTGCCCAAATGTCCCTCTCCCTTCTCTGTTTCACACCCCCATCCCCACCCTTTTTCAGATGGCTGACTCCTACTCATCCTTTACGAGTCAGCTCCAGTGCCATCGTCAAATTCATTCTCTACACCCCCATGCTGGGATAAGTAGTCCTCTTCTGTGCTCCTATGGAACACTGTGCATATTTCCTTTAAACCATTTATCAGTGTACTAAAATTATTCGTGTATGTATTATCCCATTGAATCTTCAGTGACTCATAAAGAGGGACAAAGTCCTATTCATCTTTGTATCCCTAATGCCTAGCAATGAGTAGAGGCTGGCACATAGTAGGAATCACCTATTGTTGAACTGAACTTAACCTCCAAGAGATCATCACAAGCCATACCAATTATGAAACAAACTCCTAGGTCCAAGAGTGAGAGGACCTCTCTAAAAACGATACATGTAATGCTTACACTTTAGCTAGCTATAGCCTCCCATACACTATGCAGAACTACCCAAACCATGACACCCTATTCAATAATGAAACAGACTGTTCATTCTGTCCATTTTATATACCAGGAAACTGAGGCTAGGTTAAGACAGAGAATGAAATGATATGCTGCTTCAGAAGAGCCAAGCTGATGGGGTCTCAGAAAACTGAAGAGCAAGTAAGACCTGGTCTTCTCTTCTTCAGTAATCCTGAAATGGAAACACAGGGAGACTCATTCCCTTAAGAAAAGGGGAGTTCCACCCTGGAAGCACTGAACCCCCTGCCATCAGTTCTGATATGTGGACAGGAAACAGAGCCCATGTCTAATTATGAGCACCCAGATGCTCCACCCAAAGCAAGGGAAACAGCCGGGAAAATAGCTGTTCCACTACAGACTGGTTTTCCTTGTCTCTTCCTCTCGCTTCACCTGCTGCAGTCACTGGGTACAAATGAAGGGGAGTGAAGGAAAATAACTGCTTGTCGTAGCAGGCAACATGAGGAAACTGAGACACCTCAGAGCCCCTTACTTCTCATTTCCTCTCCCACTTGCTTCCCTTGACCAGCTGTTGATTATGAGACTCCCAGAAAAAGCAGATGGGCAGACTTTACATTCAACCAATCAAAAGCACAGGCTGCTCCACAGGTCCCTGATTCAAAATGTCCTGACTATGAAGCCCAGGAAATGAAGAAATATTATCCCTACATACCTGGCCACTGGAAAATGAGGCGGAATACAGGAAAGCACTATGGCCCTAATTATGTATCAATGGATGCAAATCTACAATAGGCCCCAGTCCTCGGAAGGTTAACTCCTGAGATTTAAGAGAGAGGGAGAGGAAAAACAGCCACTTTCAAGTCCTAGATCCCAGGTTGGATCATTCAGAGTGCCAGGAATTACCAGAGCTTCTAGCTCAGTGGCTCTCAACGAGGAATGATTTGCCCCCAGGAAACATTCAGCAATGTCCAGAGACATTCTAGATTGCTGTGACTGGAGGGGATAAAGAAGGGTGCTGTTGACATGCAGTGATCAGAGGCCATTCTAAACGTCCCATAATGTGTAAGACAGCCCCCCACAACAAAGAGTTATCTGGCCCAAAATGTCAATGACGCTGAAGATGAGAAACCCTAGATGGAGCATGATAAGGGTTGAAAGAACAGAGACAGTATGTCACTTTCACCCTAGATCAGGAGAAAGATGCAATTTGGTCCCTCCAACCCAAACCCATCAAACAATATTCCAGAAGAAAAGAATAGCCAGTCATGGACTCCTAAGTCCCAAAAGCACTGAGTTCCATCCCACTCCAACCTTTGCTTCTCTATCACCTGCCGCTGCCATTCAGGTGAACAGCAGGTGGTAGGGCTACCTTCCCTTCTGCCCCATCCCAGGAGGTCCAATTTGACCTAGTTCAATCTGGATCTCTGTAAAGATAAGAGAAATGCCATCTCTGCAAGACAGACAAAAAGGATCCTGCACTTAACCCTTATACCATCTCTAAAGTCCTGAAACTAGAGCAGCAGCAGACCCTTGTTAGGCTGCTGCTGAGACTTAATCTGCTTATTCAGTGAAGTGAAATGCAGTAGAGGCATAAGTTTCCCCAAGCCATGTCCTTGGGGGAAATGTCAGGAGGCTGGCATGCAGGCTTATTATCGTCTAGGATAGTAAATTCACTCACTCAGTAATCCAGGTGGGGGTTCCAAGAATCAATCTAACTTGAGCATTGAAAGAACATGGCCAAGTTCCTCTTACACTCAGTTTTCTCTGGCAGTGAAGCCCGGGAACTCAGCTTAAATTATACAGAGATCTAAATGAAAGGTATCAGACTAATGAGGAGAATGTACCTCCTCTAAAGAGAAGATTGGAAACAATTCCTGAATCTTGATGCCTGAAATACTGTGAGAACCTAAGAGGCACCCTTCCAGTAAACAGGAGTCCTGATGCCACCATTTGGTTTGGGTCCATTCTAAGAACCTAACAAATGGCTCCCCCACTACAGTTTACCAGTAATTATTCTTTATTTCGATGAATTACTGCATTTCCTGGAGTTGCAGTTTGTTTATTTGTTTTCTTTAGGGAGATCCAAGGCAGACAAGGGCCCACAGTACGTACCAGGATTGCCTCTTGACCGGTCGTTCTCTATTAGGGTTCTACTTCCAAGCCAGTTCTCATCCCAGCCAGGGATGGTATCTGCATTCTTTGTACTATCCCAAAAGTCCTTAGAGGAAAGCCATGTAGAGGAAATAAAAGAGTGATGTCTTGAAATGAAAATGATAGTCTACTGTCATCCCAAAGGGATGACACCTGTTTTTCACAGAACTACAGGGATCTGACTCTCTCTCATAAGCCCTTGGAAAGGAAGATCATGTGGAAGAACTAAAAACAAGCAATGTCTTGAAACTTGAAATGAAGAAGACACAGAAGCCTTCAAGATGGCTAAGAGTACATAAAGAGCTTTCTTGCTGGGGGGACTTAGGAAAATGTAACCAAATATCTGGAAGTCAGAATTACATAGCGTTTTTAAAAGATTCCAGGAACCCTGAACAACGAGAAGAGTAAATTAGAGAAAAAGCCTTCCCATGGAAAGTGCCTCAGCAACACTCCAAAGGCAAAATTTAGTAGACAATGTACTAGAGCACAATGTTCCGTATGTTAAGTTTTTCTCTCAGAGCTGACCAAGAAGACTAGATAACAACAAGCCAAAGCCTGCCCCCAAGACACCTAATTTCTGCTCTCCTTTCCCTCCTACCATTCACCAGCCACCCAGAGAGACAGTGAGAGCAACAGATCTTAGCTAAGCACTCAGTTGGCAAGGAGCTCCTGTTCCCCTACTCTACCCCTTCACTGAGCTCAACCCCCATACATTTCTCAGGCCATTTCCATTCCTTTCCATTGTTTGGAAACAATAAAAAGTTCCAGACTTACCTCTGCAAGAAACGTAATTGCCCAGGTCTCTTCCTAGCACAAGGTTCAAAGACAGCAGCAAAACAAAAAAACAAATGGGGGGGTGGGGTGGCGGTGTCAATTTTCAAGCTTCATTTTGAAACCTCAAAGGCCCAAAGAGTTAGTCAATCTCAGTTGCAAAAATACCCACATGGTCAAAGCCATTTCAGTTAACGTGATCCACTCCAGGCTAAACAAGAGGACTCACCCCAACAAGGTCCCTAAGTACCCCTAACTCTCTACTAGCCAATTTGCAAAACACCAACTCCAAGAAATTCCAGCCTGAATGACAAGAAAGGTCCCAAATTCAACAACCTGTAGGAAACCAATTATCCTGTGACACCTTCTCACCTACCTCAATTCCTTATGCGACCCACCTATTTTGTTACAATATTAACACTGACTTTCATCTACTAAAAACTAGGAGGAAAGTGGTTAAGAAGGCATTTTCTTTCCATCACTTCACTCATCAGACCAAAATGATCCTCCAAATTCTATCTTCACCGTCACCTGCACACAGTGAGAACAAAATACCCACTAAGGCAGTCTCACTCATGCATATACATTTCACTAGGGGACGTTTTCTATTTATGAATACTGATTGACCCCTCCGTACCCAGCACTTAAACAACAAAAGAACGGTCTGGAAACTGAAGTGTTCATTAATTAGCGGTACTACCTAGATGCCATCCTATATTTTCTGTTCCCCTTCTTGGACTTCCAGAGCGTCCACATTAGCATACAGGGCTCCAACATAGCATGGCTGTTTCCTCATTTTTGCATTGCTAATTGGTAAAAACTAGAAAAGTCTTTTACTCCTTCCACACTCCAGCAAGCACCCCCGTTTTCCTTCTTATCATAACCAGGAAAAACAAGGGAATAGGAAGCAAGCTACAGAACCTTTGGGTAGCGAATCCAGTTGAACCCTCATCCAACCCCAATTCTCCAAACCCACGTGACTATTCTCTTCTGCCCTTCCCACTCCATTAAAAGCTAAAGACCTGGCAATTAGAATTGGCTGCAACTGATGCTGCTTAACTCCGCTCTCTCTTCCCTTCCACGGGGAAAAGGGAAACCCCCGCACCTCTATCACCCGTGCAGCCCCACTGCCCCACCTCCCATCCTATTCCCCCTCCTCCCAAACTTTCTTCGTAGTCTCTCACTTTCTCCATTCCCTCGCCACACGGACACCCTCTCCATTCCCCAAACCTCCCTTCTCTCTCTTTCCACCCAGATTCTCCCCTAGGCCCTTCCCCACCTCCCACCTCCAATTTCACACTTTCAAAACCTCCCTGCAAATGCCCGAAGTCCCAGTCTCACCCTTTCCCACCTCTTCACAGCACCCTTCGCAAGGGACCAACCCTTCCAACCACTGCCGCAAGCCCCCGGCCCCTTCACACCCTCAGACTCTCCCTCCCGCTCCTACCCCCTCAATCCGGCGAGATCGCAGCCCCACTCGCACCCGGGCCTCTCTAATACCCCCTCCTGGCCCAGCCTGGGCCCTTGTTTACGCCCCTCCCCATGCCCCATTCGCCGCCGCGACCCCTGCCCTCTCCCATAGTTGCCACCTCCCCCGCACGCCCCCCTCGGCCGCTGCCCTCCCCCACCTCGCAGCGTCCCGTCACCTCCCTCTCCTGGGGTTCTCAGGCTGGACGTCGCCACCGCCTCCCCCTCCACTTTCCTTCCCCAAGCCCTTTACGGCCCCGCCCGGCCCCGCCCCGTCCCGCTCGACTCCCCCTCCCCACTCCGGCCGCCCCGTCGCCTCACTCTCGGCTCAGGCTCGGCGCCGCCATGTTGGATCCATCCGCGCCGCTCGCCCGGGCCTGTCTCACGGCGCCGCATCCGGGCTCCGGCCGCCGCCGCCGCCGCCGCCGCCGCGGCCGTGGGGGAGGGGAGCGGCGGGCGGGGGTGGCTGCATCCTGCACAGCGCCTCCCGGAACCTGGCCGGTTAGTGGCGGCTTCGAGACCATAGTGAGGCATGAGCCGGAGTAGCCATGCTGGGTGAGGGCAGCCGGGCAGCGGCATTAAACGGAGAGTGGATGGCTTCACTTTGGGAGCAGAGAATGGAGATTGGCAGCCATCTTGCTTTGGGGCAAACTGGCAACGCAAGTTTTTCTTGACGGCGGCTTCAGGGCCGTAGTATAAAAAATGAGCGAGCATTGCATTTTTGCATATGAAAACATTGGTGGCGCCAGAGCTGGTTGATCTCGACTTCAAGACCCACTGAAAGGCTGGGAGTGGCAGCCATGACGCGCAAGAGCAGAATATTACGGGATCGGACAGTCCCGCGAACTTCGGGGAAGGTTCCTGATCTGAACTTGACCTTTGCACCGAGCTTCCTGGTAACCCGGACGTTCCGTAAACCTGGGTCCGGAGCAGTAAACGCTGCTCAGATGCTTTCTCGAATTTCGTTCTTTAAGGTTTGCATTTTGAGCCCCGCTTACTGAAGGAAGTGTCTCCTGAACTGAATCCTTAACTGTTGGGAATTGGGGAAAAGGGTACCAGATACGTTCTGGAGCTGTCAGCAGTCTGGTATCGTTGAGAGAGAGGTAATAAATGAGGCCCGTGGGATTGGGAGGTACCAGATTACTCAAGGCCTTGTAAATTAGTTGAGGACTCTTATCAAAAGAGTGAATAGTTCTATTTGCATTTTAGAAAGATAACTGCCTTGAGGGGAATGGGTTGAAAAACGAAGTTCCAGGCACAATCAGGCAAGTCTTACTAGGTGAGAGATGACAGTGGGTCAATAGAAGGGAGAGTGTGGATGGAAAAAAAAAAACGATCGGAAATGGGGATGAAACAGGAATCCAAGATATTTCCCAGTGTTCTGACTTGGGCAACTAGGAAATTAATACGCTATTTTCCTTATTGTTTGGGGAGAATGAGTTTTAGGTGCCTGTAGCAGGCAATCCATTAGACACTTGAATTATGTGGGTTGGGAGCCCAAAAGAAAGGTTTGGGTGTGTGCAGCCAGTGTGTGTGTGGAATATAGATGTCTATTCAAGCTATGGAAGTGGCAAAGATGACCTAGAGAGAGAGCATTCGAGGGATGAGAAGAAGGAGGGAAGCCTAAAAGGACACTTAGAAGAGGCAAAAAGAAACAAAAGAAGGAAACCAGGAGAGATGTATCCAGAAATTTGTCAAAGTGTTAACAGATCAGGTAACACTTGGACTAAAATGTGTCCTTTAGATTTTAGACAGGCAGTGATTTTTGAGAAAAGTTTCAAAAATAAGGTCGGGTAGAAACCAGATTGAAGTAAATTGAGTGGTTGGACAGGCAAATGTATACAGGCAACTTAGAGGCAAGCAGTGGAGTGCAGCATGAGGCAGAATTCCAAAGAAACAGAAGGAATTTTGGATGCGTGTTGGACAAGCCAGATAGAGATGTCCTAATGACAGTTTGAATATACAGATCTAAAAGGTAGGAGGGAAATACACTAAATGAAAAGGAAGTTTAAGTGCAGAAGAGTACATTGGGCACATTTACACAGCCATTGAAAAATTAACCATGAAGAGTGGGGCCTGGGAGGATAAAGTTTACACTTTTAATTTTAGATCCATCTTTACTGTTTGAATTTGTTTGGCTGTGTACATAGGTTACTTTTATAGAAAACTACTTAGCAACTCCAATGATGCATACACCAGAAATTCTGAATCATGAATATTTCAGTGGTAGTTGAAGTCATAGATTTGCATAAACTCTCCAGAGAAGAGCAGAGGGCTAGGAAGGGTTCTCTAGATAATTTCAACATTTAAGGCTCAAGTAGAAGAAGAGCCTTCAGAAATCTTTGAAAAGGAATACCCAATGAGGAAGAACCAAACCTGGGTGATAATTGTTACAGAATCAGAGGGAAGACAGTGTTTCAAGAGGATGGAAGTTGTTAAAACTGTCATATGTCCCCAGTTAGGCAGCTACCAGGAAATGTGTTTTCAGCTCCAGACCCAGGTTTCTTGGAAGCTTGGCACAAGGACAAATCCAATCATGAACCCTCCCCCAAGTATCATGTGGAATCTCCCCTCATGCTATTCCACCCTTATGTGTCATGGCTGCCAGTCCCACTCTTTCCGTGGGTCTTAAGTTGACATCAGCCAGTTCTGGCCCCCAAAATGTTTCCACACTGAAGAATGCTCCCTCTCCCATTCCTTACTATGGCCCTGGAGCTGCTGTCAAGAAAAATCTGTGTTGCCAAATATCGTGAAGTTAAGGAATGTAGGAGTATATGTTAGAGTTGAGAAGGTCAAGAACTAACAAGGGATCCCATGGATTTTCCTAAAGCAATGCAGAGTGATATGAAGAGTTTGACACCAAGATTAATCAGTGCTGAAGTTCTCAGTAAGCATGAGGGTTAAAGCAAAAATACAGCCAAGTGACATACACTTCAAAGGAGGAAGAATTTCTGAAAGAGGAGGAAAACAGTGGTCTGAGAGGAGCATTGGATAGTAAGGAGAAGGGTGATACCCTGCCACCCATTCCTACCGGATGACAGAATAAGTACCTTCTACTGCTTTAGAAGGTTGAAGGGAAGAGGTATCCATTAGAAAAAGCCAAAAATTTCTACCCCACTCATTTCCCCCACAATACACACTGGAACTCTGTTACTTTGTAAACAACCTCCCCTATATCCTCATTTTCTTCACAGATTGCTTCCTAACTTCCTAGATCTGATCTGATAGATTTCAGAACCAATAAGCAAAAAAAAAAAAAAAAAAAATCAGGATATAAAAAAAGTAACATGAGGTGCAAATTTCATTTAACAAGCATATATATAGCTCGCTATACACAACCTCAAATCACAAATTATTTTCAAGCACAGTTGGAACATGTTAAAAATTGACCATATATAAGCCAAAGCAATCCTGAGAAGGAAGAATAAAGCTGGGGGGATCACACTCTCCGACTTCAAACTACAAAGCCACAGTAATCAAAACAATTTGACATTGGCACAAGAACAGACCCATAGATCAATGGAACAGAATAGAGAGCCCAGATATAAACCCACACATATAAGGCCAATTAATATATGATGAAGAGCCATGGATATACAATGAGGAAATGGCAGCCTCTTCAACAACTGGTGTTGGCAAAACTGGACAGTTACATGTAAGAGAATGAAACTGGATTATTGTCTAACTCCATAATCAAAAGTAAACTCACAGGATGGTGGCGTGAGTAGAGCAGTGGAAATCTCCTCCCAAAAACATGTAGAGCTATGAAAATATAACAAAGAAAAATCTTCCTAAAATAGAGACCACCGGACACAGGACAACATCCAGACCACATCCACACCTGCAAGAACCCAGCGCCTTGCGAAGGGGGTAAGATACAAGCCCCGGCCCGGCAGGACCCGAGCACCCCTCCCCCCGGCTACCGGCGGGTGGAAAGAAACCGGAGCAGTTTTTTTTTTTGGCGAGTGCTTTTTGGAAGCCTTAAAGGGACAGGGACCCTGGTGCTAGGGAGGCAGGGCGGCGGGACTGGTGAGCGGGTGCCTGGGACCGGCGCCTGAGGACAAAGAATATCCCACATTTTTCCCTGCGGGACCGGTGGGCGGGTGCATGAGACCGGCACCTGAGGATGGAGGAAATCGCCTGTTTTTCCCCCTTTTTTTCTTTTTCTCTTTTTGGCGAGTGCTTTTTGGAAGCCTTAAAGGGACAGGGATCCTGGTGCTAGGGAGGCAGAGCAGCAGGACCGGTGAGCGGGTGCCTGGGACCGGAGCCTGAGGACAAAGAATATCGCGCGTTTTTCCCTGTGGGACCAGTGGGCGGGTGCCTGAGACCGGCACCTGAGGACGGAGGAAATCGCGCATTTT